TTACGCCCCATGTAACAATATTTAGCTGTTTAGCGTCAGCAGTTTGCCCCTACTGCTAGATGCAGTAACTACACCTATACCAATATGTAAAATAAATATTTGATATTCAATATTCTTTTATTCTGCCGAACACGAAAGATGTTATTTTGAAGAATGTTTCAACTGTTTTTGGTCCATACAATGAAAGTCATTGGTGTCCAAAACAACATTGGACCCCTTTTACTTTCGTATCATGGATTAAAAATAAATAATTATTTTGTGTGTGTGTGTGTGTTCTACAGAAGAAGGTCATACACATTTGTAAAAGCCTGATGAGTAAATTATCCATTCCAGTATTCATTCCAAAAGTTTTCACGACTTTAAGGGGTCATGAACTGAAACCAAAATTCCCTTGATATTTTGACACATAAAAGAGGCCATTTCTTGTTAATTTAAGAACTCAAAACTTTCTTGTTAATCTAAACTATCTAATCTAACAGCTTATATTGAAAGCAGTCTGCCAAAACAAAAGGTTGTGCAACGTGCCATTCTATGATGTAATAGTGTGGCTAAACACCGCCTCCACCTAAAAGATCAAAGCCTGCTTCTCATACAGTCTTATCCTGCTTCTACATCGCTGCCTGTTTAGCCCTGCCCACCGATTTGCACATGTAGTGTAAATAAGGTGAATGCAGGTCAACGCAAATCCAGAAGTTAAAATCGTTCTGAATACAAGACGCTGTGCAGTGCCAAGTTGTGCGTTGGAAAAACAGTTTTTGCATTGCCTTCCTTCTGATCCCAACATTAAAAAGTGGTTGAACTTTAACTTGGTCCTTTGTTCACTTCATTTTAACCGCGGATTCATTTACAAACAAGGAACAATTCGACGCAGGATTTTCAGAAAGATTGAAACTAAAATACAAAGCTGTGCCAGCTATATTGAATCCAACAGTAATGTCACCAATGTGAGTAACTGTTTTTTTATGTGGTCACTATTGCTTTGTCTGTTATTACAGATCGTTTGATATTTACGGAGTATTTATAAATTTTTTACCTAAATCACAGCAGCGTCTATCAGGGCCGTCCTTAGCTGACGCGGGGCCTGGTGTGAGGTAGGGTGTGGGGCCCCTCTCGGTCCGTTCGCGATCACGTTCCGGGGGTGAGTGGGGGGATTCCCCCTCGGTCCGTTTGCCGCGGGGCCCTGTGAGACCACACCAGTTGCACCCCCCTAATGGGTGTCTATCTATGAAGGATGTAGGCTGTTAAACATACACAACTTTTAGCCAATCATAGCAGTGGGTGTTTACTTCTGAGCCTACAATCAGCCACGCCTATTCAAACAGAGCATTCTGTTGAGGGAGTCAAAAACAGGACAGAAAATATTACTTCTAAATTAGGATGTTTTTTGGTGTAAAAATCTAACATTATAAGGAGACCTCAGAGAACAGTAAAAAATAATAAAGACAGTTCATGAGTCAAGTCAAGTCAAGTCACCTTTATTTATATAGCGCTTTTAACAATACAGATTGTGACAAAGCAACTGAACAGCATTAATTAGGAAAATAGTGTCAATAATGCAAAATGACAATAGTAAACACTCATTTTTCAGTTAAAGACAGTTCATCATTGAATTCAGTGATGTCAACATCCAGCTCAGTTCAGTTTAAATAATATCTTTGCAATCAAGTCAACGATATCATAAAGTCATTACTATTAAACTGTGCGGGAATATTTAGATCGGGTGGCGCTCTTCATGACCCCTTTAATTATGTATTTAGCATTTTCTCATAATTCGTATCCCCTTTTGTTATTGCACCATTGAGTTTTCTGTTATCATGAGCGTATGGACATAGATTAATTGAACCATGAACCATGAATGTTTTAAATCAATTTCAAATAAAACAGCAAATCTCATTCTTATTATATGGTATCTCAATATATGAGGTGTAGAGGAGTGGTTTAGGATATGCAGGTGCTGATTTTTTCTATGTATTTATAAGCTAGTGTCCATAAAAATACCAGCTTGGGGCAAAATATTTTGAATGACCCTTAAACTGACAAAAACTTTCATTTTTGCTCTTCTAAGATGTAACTCTTTGGGTCAAGAAGTCATTCTTCTAATTAGCACCAACTTATAATGAGTATTCTTATCAATAAAATGGATTTTTACTTAATCGAAGCTTTGACTGTGTTGGTGTTGCGGGCATAACCTTCTTTGATTTTCTTTGAATGTCAAGTACAGAAATCAAAAGTTCGCCTGGCCCAAATTCATTTAAATGCAGACATTCGCATTCCTGTTTTTTGGAGTCAGCATGAAATACTGGTCCCTTCTGAACAGTCTTTAGGTCTTTGAAAGTTCTGCTAGAAAGGCAGATCTTAAAACTCTTTTCAGACTGTTAAATCTCTCACTGAACATAAGGCTGAACTTCGACCATTTAAGCTCCACATACATTAGCAAGGACGAAACTGCTTATTGTGGTATAATCAGAGAAATCCAGACTTGCTATTTCCCCACAAATGCCACCACAGTTAGAAGGTGCTCCACAATACCCAGGACAAAATGTCTGTGTGGTTGCTGATAGACCTCAGCTGTCACAGATTTGATAGCGCACTAGGCCATTTGCTGCATCTTCAGGATCTGAGGGACAAAAAGTACTTTCTTACTGTCGTAAATCCAGGCTGAGACTGGCTGCAATCAGACTTCCTAAAAATAGCTGGCAATTAACTTGGGAGCAAAGTTGAATTACTTTGTAAATGGCTGAGTGAGATGCAAATTATTGGAAAATATTTTTCATATCACAATTGTTTTAGTGAAGACATTTCTATTATGAAAATACAGAGTCAAATTTGCAAGTAAGAGATCATTTAAAATCGGCATATGAGTGATCAAGACAAAAAATTATAACAAAAATGGTTCCCCATTTCCCACTGGTTGCTCAACAGTGATCTGCTTAATGGACAAATTGTTCTTCCATGAATAACATACACTGAGGCATCTTTTTATGAGGAGGGTTTTCAAGATGTGCTTCTATATAAGTTACGCAGACCACAGAAATGTACTTGAATTATTATCACACAAGCAGGATTATGATATGGATTTATATCAGCACATCTGTGATTACCTGTGGTCACAAGTCACAGCCGTGCTGATTTACCATATTGCACTCTTTCTCATATGATACTGCTTATATATATATATATATATATATATATATATATATATATATACAGTGGGTACGGAAAGTATTCAGACCCCCTTAAATTTTT